AATACAGTAAATGAGAGGATGTGTCCATACTTTTGGCTGGTAATGTATCTTCTGTATGTAATATATTTCATGCAGGATATGTGCAGTATTTTATATAATTAGCTTCGGTCATGGTATAGATATTTTTCAGGATTTTAGTTACATATTGTAGTATAAATGTAAACACTATATTAAAAAACAGTCTATCATCGTTATCATTATTTATTGCCTTTTCTTATTCTGTGATGACAAGCTACTCTGACAAGAGCTGCCCTTTGGCACACTAATGGAAGTGTGGCTGCCAATCGTACCATTCATGCAATTCCACAAACCAAATCACATACAAGTGTTAAGTGTCTTGCCAAAGGGCTAAAAGGATTGAACCGCCAATCCTTAATCATGTCAACCAACACCTCTACGCCTTTTTATTATGCCTATAAATTCATATTAAAGGGGGACTATATAACTTTTCTGGTGGAGTAAACATTGCTTGTCTCCATGGAGCTGTTACTGCTTTGCCAGAAATGTTCCACAGTACGGCATTAAACGTGTATCTCTCTCTATGTAGACACCACCGAGCAAAGTTAGAGCTCAGAGCTATGGAGAGGTGCCTTGCTTACTGTAAGAATGCACATCTGCTTTTTTAACAATCAGTGCAAAATAACATCATTTCAGCTGAGACTTTCAACCAGAAAAGTTACACAGTGCATCTTTAATGTCCAGTTTTTGGCTGCGTTTATATGATGATTATCTGAACAGAAAACGCAAAAGTGGCGTCGCGTCTTCACTTTTTATTCCGTGTTTAGGCGAGCATTTTCGGGAGGAAATCTTTGTGCATAAGGTGACGCAACAGTGTGTGGAATTCGATTGGGTATGCATGCCAGGCGGCTCGGTGGCGATGTATGTGACGAAAAAGTGTATGCAACGTGAGCAGATCTGACTAGAGTTTTGTGTCTTGGGCAGTGTAGATGGAAACGCTACGGTGGAGCATATTCATCTTTTCCACTCTGGAGGGTAGTTTCAGATGTTTGCATTTTTAAGCCCCAAAAACGCCGTCACCGTCTAAACGAAACGCACTTCCGATAAAATATTTTGTCATTTTTACCCGCAAGCGCTCTTGTGTAAACAGGCCCTTTATTAACCTGCTTTTACCCGTCACATTTGCATACATTCACCCTTGCTCTTCCCCTTACCCAGTAAAATAAGAGATGCCCCTATTTGCTCCCCTGCTTGTAAACAGCGAATTAAAGCCTGCCAATAATAAAGGTGTCAATTCCAGTGCAGGCAGGCTTACTATGGCTACACAGCAAAACAGCTACAACTTTCGCGCCTTGGGGTTGAGATTTTGAAAGATACTTGGTGTGAAAACTCCTTTGAAATCGAGTAAGCAGTGTAGCAGTCTCCTTCAGTGTCTCCATTGATATTTGGATCACAGGTGACGCTTGTAAAATTGTGGTGAGAAGAGCAGGTTGGTGGGAAAGCCCCTACCTCCAGTGGTGACCCCCTCCCTCTTCATCTGTCTGCAGTTCCTCTTCTTCGTTTCCACTGGCTCCTTAGATACGCTCCTGCTTTGGGAACCACAACCAATAGCGAGGAACAGAATAGGTTTTGACACGTTACGCTGTCATAAAATTGGCAACACGTGTACGATAACTAAGAGGGAAGGCATTTCAATTTGGAAGACACTTAAACGGCTCCTTTTGTGTTCTTGGCCAAACATTTGTAGTGTAAATGAGTGCTATGTGCCAGAGGATTCCTGTTACCTAAGCACTATTTGGTGACCTGTGCTGTCTACTCTGAGCTAGCGACCTTGGTCAGACATGTGAATGTGAATTTGAGGGTAAATATAGCAGCGTAGCTCACACACGGTTTCCTCCATGACTCTTGTTAGGAAAACAATAGCATCCTATTATTCACCAAAGCATAACTGAACTCACACGTTTCAGACAAGCCGTGACATTCCTCTGTACATGACTTTTCTGAGTATAGTTCAATTAAAACAACAAAATGAGTGGGTGTTTTGACCTGAATTGCAACCTGGCTAATTTGAAATGGCGCAACTGTATGTTTAAATCTCATTTAAGCATTGTAAATTTCAGATAAGTGTATAGAGTGATACTTTTAAAAGTTGGTAATTTTCTAGTACTTTCACATTTGTCAGATACTTAAAGGAACTGCCTGCACTCTCACAGTTTAAGTATTACAATTTGCATATTGGTAGCCTAACAGGATAATTGCTTCAGTCATTTTTTTTTTGGCTAAATTGTGATATCTGCCTATGTTTATTCTCCTACCACTGCTGCATCACCCTGCCTGTCCTATGTCCTCAGCCTATAAGAACACTTGTTAGAGTCTAAAATCACTGTCTGCACCTTCATCTCAAAACAATATCAATAAAAAAATACCAATGTGCTTGCCAAATAAATGTGTTTTTTCTTGTTTTACGAAAACATTCAAATATGACTTAAGCAACTATGCTATTAGGCTCACGATACAGGAGACATGCACAAGTTTTTTCTTCTCATTCTCAGTATCTGGACAGACTATGCCTCGTCTGAAAGCTCAGAACCTCCAGAATTCACTCACAGAGCTGCAGAGGTTGCACTAGCACTGACAAATGATCAGCTGTAGTCAGGTGCTGGTGTTTAGATAGTGAGGATTCAGATCAGGTTTAAACCAGCTGGATTTCGACATTGGAACTGGCAACCCCAAAGAAGTTGTGAGTTTCATGTGAGGCCTGTTTTACTATAGGATAATCAAAACACCAAATTATTATTATTATTATTTTTTTTTGTAATTATCTAGCTGAAGAGCCATTACACTGTAGTTATATCCGTTAAGTTGTATTAAAAGTTATAGTGGCAATGCTAAAAGTTCTTGTGAATGAAGTATTTTTATAAGGCAAGGCAAGGCAAGTTTATTTGTACAGCACAATTTGTACACAAAGTAATTCAAAGTGTAACCGTAGCAACTGTTATAGTGGAAAAGATAACATCAGTAGAAAATTAAAGTACTTTTAGTCATTATATTTGAAAGCTTTGCAATAAAATAGCACAAATGGTCCGAGAATCAAACCTGGAACCATCTTGTATTATCTAACCGTTACACCACCACATTTCCCATAATTGCACAATCACACATATGCTCTTTGAAGAACAATCACTTCTTCTGTGTCTACCATAAAAGGCTTTTGGAGTTATATTTTATCAGCTTGCTCTTGCTGAGTCGAACCTGGCGCAGTCATGGTATGGCATTGTTTAAAAATGTCCCCCAAACAAAAGTGACTATGGAAAGGTCAGGTGCCCAGAATAAGCGCGGTGATATTTTGAACCACCTTTTGTTTCCTGATAGCCTGGCTCGGGGTGATGCTGATGTAATGAGAGGAGTCAGTTGGCATGGCAACTGTCCTTGTGACCCATCCAGTTTTAGTAAGTATATTAGTGTCACATTTAATTTAGTCATAGCACGGGTTATCTACCAGTGTTAATGTTGCTTTAAGCTGTGCTATTTAAAACGCTCACGCCGCTACGTTTGAGTCAGTGGAGTTTAAGTTGAGGAACTTTGAAAATGCACTATGTAACTTTTCATATGAGGGTTCTGATAGCTGCTTGTCTCCATGGGTTATTTACTTTACATGGAAAGTTACAACTTATCGAATTAACTGCTCAAACTCCTGTGAAAAAACATGCATTATTACCTTTCAACAGATCTGACCTGTAACCTGTCTCCATAAGAAAACATAAATTTAATGTAGGGATGTAACAGTAACCGAAATATTGTGATATCGTATCATCAAAAGTCTCACAATAATACCGTGGGCTGTCACAATATATCAAATTACAAGTTACTTTGCTTAAATGCATTGTTTTATAGTAGCAACAGTTTATAAACATAAAGAGCTACATATCCCATAATTCATTTAGCACAGACAACATGAAGAAATATGTTTTTACTTAAATTCTTGGGATTATCATGGAAATAATTCACACCAAAATCTTGTCAGAGTAATTTAAAAGCAAAAAAGTGTCCCATCTACAATTATATCAGCCTCTCCAAAATATCACAATCCATATCGTAACGTGAGATGCATATCGTGATTATATCGTATAGAGAGATTTGGATATCGTTACATCCCTAAGCATTATTATAAAAGTGATATAACCACCATGTAGACATCAAGTGACATACCCTTTGCTAGAAAAGTACATAATGTACCTTTAATGTCTATGAAGATACATGTATGAGCATGACAAGCAAATACTGACATGAGAAAGTGAAGTGCACGTGTACAAAACGGAAAATTCTGATTCAAAAATGTTGTCTATTAGGAGAGTCTTCGCTAATTACAAACCAGGTCATTGTAAAATATAGAATCCCATGTCTTGCTCAACATTAGTGTCATTGTGTTGTGTTTGCTGTGAAAAAAAGAACAAATTGTATTTTCAAATTTGAACGAGTACAAGTTACAACATGGTATGGTGAGCACTTTGACTTTGACCCTGTCCTTGAGTTTGCAAGTGAAAAATCTACTTTCCATAGGCCTGACTTTGAATGTACTCTTTGAATCTTTCTTGTGAAGGATCAGCCACATTCTTATTCCCAGTTGAGATATTGCTTTTCCTGAAATGTTGTATGATTGAACTTATCTGTCTCCACGGCTACAGCAAATGATGGCACTATTTGTGGAGAGATAAGCCCACTAAACATACGATTTAATGTTTTCCAAGATATTTAGTTGGCACTAAACGCCTGAAAAGATTGATAACTTTATGGTGGAACATTACAGGCAAAGTAATAACATCTCACTGGAGATAAGAAAAAGTTATACAATGCACATTTAAATTAGTTTGGAGTCAGGCAAAAGCTTAGCCAAATCTGAGTCCACTTTTAATCAACGACATTTCAGCCCACTCCCAGACAAACTTTTCTTGGCTGTGCGTCAGGAACACGTGCCTCATAACACCCAAGTTCCACAGTGGAGGAACTCGGCTCACAGTGATGCCATGCGAGCTGTGCGTGTGTCTTTGTACGCACATTATCATCCATTCTTCAGGCAGGGGGCGGGAGAGATACGCAGCCACGCACACACAAGCACACGCTCACACGGCAGACTTGGAAACGTGCTCTTCCCCTCCACCACCACCACGACCACCAGCGGCAGCAGCACTTCTCAGCAGCAGCAGCAGCAACAGCAGCAGCAGCCGTAGGAGTTGCACTTTAGCGCAGCCAGTGTGTGTAATCAGGCCGATACAGCGCTGAGTTCACGCCGCGCTCTGCTCAGTGATAAGGCTCCGAGGAAACAAGAGGGAGCGCACCATTTAACTGACCTGCCACTTCCTCGTCTACGTCTTCTTCTGCTTTTTATTTTTACGTTTTTACACAGCTGGACTTTAAAAACGTCACGGTTATTACAGGCATCTTGGAAATTATTGGAAAACATTCAAACGGACAGATATTGGAATAACTTTTTCCTCTCCATCCCAGCTGGGCTTTTATAATTGGATAATTTCGTAAAAACGTGGGGGTGTAATAACCTCCCTATTTTACTTTATAACAATGCCGAAGAAGAACAAAGTGGATTTTTTTACTTGAACTGTTTGATAAGAATCTAACATTATTGGTTTTGTCCCTCGGCTGTCTCCGCTGTGGAGTATAGGCCCCTGCGTAATACCCCCGCGCTCCCTAAATGCCCGGTCCGCAGCGGCTCGAGGCTGCCCAGCAAGATGAGCTCGTGGCTGGCGCTGCTGCTCGTGACGGCGGCGTGTCTGCGCTTTGGCGTTGCCGAGGTGAGTTTTGGGTATCCCGTGGCACATGCCCATCGCCTGCTATGACTGTCATATCTCGTTTTGGGCAGGGGCGCGATACAGGCGGTGCACACGGGGCAGCTGCGCGCGATACCAAGGGATAGAAAGAGGTTATGAGAGCTTTAGTGGCGTTCTTAAAATAGGCTATTCCTGAACTTTCAGAAAACTACAAAAGGAAAAATCATTAATTTGCCTCGTAAATGTTGCAGTTTACACGAGGACTCATTGTAACTACACATTAATGAGTTTTATGGGCACTGGACACACGATGGAGCTCCCATTAAAGTTAACTGCGCTCTAGTTTGGGACATTGTAAGTTTACAATAGCAGGAAATGTTTTAAAAATGGAAACAGTACTGTGGGAGCATTATTGTTTCTTTGACGTCGTATTGTACGCCTGACACCATTATGCTTAAATTATTTTTGGTGGGACTTTTTGCCATTGTTTAGGCTTATATTTTAATTTGGACTATTTTCCACAACCCTGTAGACTACGTTTCTTAATCTACAAATCAAACGGCGTGGGCTGCGTAAGAAACGTCTTGATCTTTCTGTCTGACTTAGTTGTGCTTTCCTTTAAACCAGTCAGATCAAAACAAAAGTAGACCAACGTATCGCTCCTTTGAAGTTCGTGCACCTGCCCATATGTAAACTCGCGGGAGGAGAAGCTTACGCGTTTCCACGTCGCCTCTATAATGTCATGGCTGGGCTCCACTGGCACAAATAATAACTGTTATTTTTGGTCATTAACTTGAATGAATGGATGGCTTGGAGAGGCTCGTATCATCTGCAGCTGAATACCAGTGTTAGTGCGTGCGCAGCGTCAAAGCGTGCCCATACGCCCAACCCAACAGTGGAATAAAGCGATGCACAGTGTTGAAAGACGAATAGGGGAAGTTTTACGTAAATAAATAAAGGAAGACAATGATGTATGATTGGAAGAGAGATTGGCATCGCTGAACCTCCTTTAAGGTCAAACAGGAAGACAAAACTTATCCCAAGGTCTTGTCTGGGTCAGCTAATGTAATGACAACTGGCATTATGGTGACCAATGTACAACTTCTTGTTTTGCTGATGCTACCAGATAAGAAGGTTTAAATGGAGATTTTAGACACATTTGGGGCAAGCCTTGACCATACATAGACCTATATGAATTTCTTTCCTTTTGTGAGTTTATTTTAGCCAGTTTTGGTTTGTTGGAAGATTACTCTATAGCAGGGGTCTCCAACCTGTAGCTCTTCCAAGTGGCTCGCCAAGGGATTTCGGGATTATACCATTGTGCTGAATAACCAAATGTATCATACTGAAGCCCAACTTTGTGCCCAAGGCTTGCCCTTTTTCTTGGGGTCGCTAAAATGAGTAGCTCTTGGCATTTTTGTTTTGTAAAAGTAGCTCACTGGAGGAAAATGGTTGGAGATCCCTGCTCTAAATTGCACTTTTATTTGGGTTCAGCTTAATATCTTAATTGCTTGTGTTACATTGCGAGATAGGGCCAAAAATACTAACTCAGTACAGTCACAGAGAGCTCATAGTATCAAAAGTATTAGTCAGAGTTGATTCTTTAGATTTGAAAAGTTGGCAAAGCGCTCCATCGCCTGCCAGGTCCAATTATAGCACGTGCGGCAGGAAGGGCATCCGGTTTAAAACTCTGCCAAATCAATCAAGGAGCATTTGAATGGAAAAAACGGGTCAACGAATATTGCTTCACCTTCATCTCAGAGCTATGAAAGGTTATATTTCCAATTTAAACCTTAGATACTTCGATTTTACTATTGCGAGATAGGGCCAGTGCTTCGGTAGGGTTTTTTAAGTGGACCTACCAGCTTGAGTCAATATAAACTATCCTATATTTTCCTTATTGTGACATTGTGTGTTGTGTTGAAAGCTATAGACGCACAAACCTCCAATTAAAGTACTACGGCAAATTGAAATCCTCCACTCCCCGTTTATTGACTCCCATAAGTACATATTAAACCATTCTATAGCATCGCCATGGCAACGCGACTTAAAGGCACGCACATATCTCTGAAAGATGACTTAAATACCTGTCTTCAACCCTTATTTCTATTTTATGGGCCACATGTGAAGCAGGTTTAGTGCGTGGGGCATGTGTGTTCAGATACAGGAGAGGCTGAGGAGAGCTTTGAGGTGCGAGTAGGAATTCCCCATGATAAAAAGTGAAACAGTCAGAGCAGAGGCAGCATTGTGAGGCTCAGTCATGTTCTAAAGAGACATGAAAGTAGGTGGAACTCAAAAAGTAGACCCTTGCCCCGTGCTTGATCTAAATTTGGCAAATGCACAAAGGGCTGTATTCACCCTAAAGATCTCCTATAGGCAGTTTTATGACGGATACTTGTGTTACTTTTCATTTCTTTCATTATGTTTACATTTAGTAGCTTATATTACATACTAGGCCTGTTACGATAACACATTTTGAAGTACGATGTAAGAAAATATAGCTGATAATATTGAAAGTAACGACAGGGTTATCTCTCAAAGCAATTTTAAATGTACAGTGTAGTTACAAAAACACAAACTGCAATATTTATTCAACTTTCCACAGCTCAAATTTTATCATAGTACAGAAAAATACCAAAAAGTTCTCAAAATAAATATTAACCCTCAAAATGTACTGTTTCATCTAACATATATTGAACAATGAGTTGATATATATGTAATTATCATGACAGAACTACTGCGTTGCGTTCATAAAGTTTTGTAGTCCTCTTATTAAAAGTATTTGCAGTCAGTTAAAGGAACACTATGTAACCTTTTCTGATGGAGTAGCTGCTACCTGCTGGCACTAAATAAATGCAAGATAGATACACCAAAACTGATTCAATGTAGTTGGAAACTGTTCCAGTGCAAAATTATTTAACCGACCCATTCGGCAATGCAAAATATAATAAGTTTATTATAACACTTGCATAATATACATATAAAGTAGGAATACATGAGTAAGTCCAAACTTCACAAACCTTCCACGTGCTCCTCACGCTCAACCCCATAATCAAGTCCCATTATCTGTCACTTAATTTCCTCTGTTGCCTCCACTGCTTCTCAACTGTGGGTCAGAGTCTGAAAAAAAAAAACTAGATCAATTTTTTGGTCTTATTGCATAGCCGTACTCAATATTTAACAACAATTTTTCGTGCTCACTTGGCCTTTGTTCTGTCTCACCTGTGCTCTCTGGTCCTCTTCTGTCAGGTCACACTTCACACTGTCAGACTGCAGTAACATAGACAGCCCCTAGTGGCGATATGTGAGAATACAACAGAGGCAGATCGGCCAGTCTAATTACAGACGGTAGCTTTAACAAAGCATGCACAAAGACTTAATTCATTATGAAGAAATAGTTTAAGAATGACTGATGCTTTGTAACTACTTAATCAGTGCCCTACATTTAACTCCTACGCTAATTCCTTAATCAAAGCCACAGTATGCAACTTTTTAGCCAAAAAAAATAGACTGAAATAATAGCATTTTTCCCATGTTGGTTTTGTTTATTGCTCTGAAACATAAAAACTTACTGTGAGCGGACTGGCATCTTCGCAAACCTCATTCTTATTTGGCCTGGAGGAGGGCTTTCTTCTGCGTGTTTCCATGGAAATTTTGTTCCTTTGGCTTTAATTTTCCACAGTATGACATAAAACGTATCTATTTCCATGGACATTTTACTTTAATTTTGTTGGAATCATACAGGGGACTTACCACCTATAGAAAGTTACATATTGTACCTTAGTAGTTACAAAGCCTGAATTATGAATTAACTATTTGTTCAGGATGAGTCTTGTTTATGTTTTATTGAGGCTTTTAATGTATTTTTTTCACCCCTGTATAGTAAATGGCCATTATGCACTCCTGCGGACCACCACAAATCTTACATTGAACTAAGACTAACTGGAATCAAGAGAGAAACAGTGACTCCTGTAAAAAATTAAACTGGGTCATTTTGACTTAAGTGATGTTCTGCCATATTCCAACATAAAGTGCAGAATTTCCTCAATAGAAAGGAGTTGGTTAACTTGAGCGTATAATTGGGCGTTTATGTAACAGTTCATTTCTGTGTGAGCCCCCAGTGCAGTCGTAACAGCTGCTGCCTCTGCCTCTCCACACAAAGTCATTATTCCGAAGAGCCACAGCCCCACATGCAGCTGGATGTGAGACGCACAGTTACAATCAAATGAATGGGACCATTGGCTTAACATGCAAGAAAACCCAGAGAGCATCTGTAATTGAAGCCTTGTTACAAGAACAACTTATGAGAGTGGAGGAAAGTCATCTCATAGTTTAAAGGTTTTGTGAGACATGCAATTATGTATCTGCATTTTAATGTTCAACTGAGGATGTTTGGGGAAAGACGACATGTCTCTGTGTGATACAGTCGTTTAAAAGGCTCATAAGAGAATGCATTTTGTGTTTTTATAGTCAAGTGAAATTGCACAGAAATAGAAGAACAAAGGGTGTGTATGTCAAGCTTTAAGTCACTATAATATAATGCAACCGTGTGTAAAAGTATTCAGAATACAGTACTCTGATTGGTCCATGTATTAGAAAGTACATTTTAATGCAAGTATTCAGCATTGTTTAACTAAATACATTTTCAAAGTATTCTTCCCATCACTGCTTACCTGGATGAGAGGTGTATACTTTCATTCTGGTCCAAAGTTCTGTTTGAGACGTCAGATAATGCAAGTTTATGACTATGCAAAAAGTTTACACATTCACGTTTCCTTTCTTCTTATTGAAATGATTTGAAAGTTATAGTATTATGGTTGCCTAAGTGTTTTTAATTTATATCTATGTTTGAAACTCGTCTTCCACCTCCTGGATTCATCGATTATTCTAATTGTGAATGAGTTAATCCCTGCGTATGAATGAATCTGAATAATATGATAAAGCGTCTGGTATAGTGCATATTTATAGCTCTGACTGATCGCCCTGACAGAAGGTCTTGGTGCGCACGCTGTAAACATCCTATAATTAACAATTAGCTGGAGCTGGAGGCAGGTTAGCTTGTCGGGCTAAAGAAGGAAATGGTGCTGATGAGTCCTGAGGGGCAGCCGAGATGTGCTATTCTTTGACTGTGTGAGAAGAATCCAACAATGGCACAAGTCACTGGGGCCTGTACTATAGAATGGACGGGGAGGTACTACATGCATGGCCCGCTGCTTCCTTGGCCGTGACGTGGTGCCTGCTGGGAAACACTAACAAAGAGAAACTAGTGAAACTTTGAAGAGAAGCAGACAATGTAAATCACGTTTTTGTTCACTACTGACTTCCTTCCATGTATGTTAGATGGAACAGTCATTTTTGGAGGTCAGTATTTATCATGTTTTTTTTAGTACTAGTCGGGAATTTTTAGATATCTTTTCAGTTCTACAATTTGATTTCAGTTCTACAATTTTATTTGAGCTGTAGAAGTTTAAATAAAGAACTATGCCTCATTATAGATACCAAAGTGTTTCTTACGCAAGTTATTTATTACTGTTTGTGTTTTTAGGGATCATTCCACTAACTTCTAGTAAATTTCTCTTTCTAAACTGGATGCCCTGACAGCAGCAGATCACAAAACAGAATGCACAGGGCACCTAAAGACTAATGGCTAAAGATGACTAGAATATAAACTAAAATGTTAGGGTAGGCAAGGCAGGTTTATTTGTATAACACAATTCATACACAAAGTAATTCTAAGTGCTTTACAGAATAAGATTAGGGTTAGGGTTAATTCTTCCCTTTAATTGCATTGTATATGCAAAACTTCACGTTATTGACAAGTAGAGATGTTTTTTTTTTTTCATGGACGATGCCAATCCGATGTTTTTAATCCAGAGCAACCGATGAGTCCTGCTGATGCTTTTAGGCCGATATGTGGGCCCAGTTACAATTATTTTTCAAATGTATGTAATTTAAATTGACTGCAAACTAATCCACAGCCATTTTTTTACTACAAACCTATAAGAGCATGTTTTGTGCAGTTACTCTTTGTATTAAATGGTAATAATAAAGATTTGTGTTTATTTTTTAGGCAGCAGTTTGACCAAAACAAAATATTGGCCTGTGTTGGAGATTTAAGGCCGAGTTGATATGCTAAAAAGTCTAAGTATCGACCCAATACATTGATCAACCAATATGTCTGTCTCTATTGACAAGCTGCATCAAACGATCACAGAGATATGTTTGGTTTAACACTTAGCATCTTAAAATCTGCATTCATGGTTCATCATCATTAGGCTGAAACTGTAAATTCTATGTATGATGATCTCTATTGTTTTTGTTGCATGGTACTCAAAATTACTCTAAAGTAATATGATTTTTTAGAAGAGAGAGTCTACAAACTGTAATTGCTGGGTATATTGTAAGTAGAGATGCATCGATCCAGCTTTTTCAGTTCCGATACGATTCCGATACTAGAGTTGTAAGTATCTGCAGATTCCTGATATTGATCGAAACCTTTGCAGGAACTAATAATAATAGCTTTTTTACTTCATCAGTTAGTTAATAGTCTCATTACATCAATTTAGATGTTCAACACTGATATTGGCTGAACCAATATTTGGAAACTGATCTGTGATCGAGGAAAATTTTCAGTATTGTCAATTCTTAATCTGCAAAAAGTCATAGTTCAACCTAGTTTAGAAGATGATATTGAACAGTCCATTCACTTCCTGCAACCTCAACTAAGACCAAGGCACATTTTTTGCACATTTTTGGATTGATTAAAGAATATATGATCCACAAAAATCTAACAAGACACTACATTTTGTTACTACCACCTCCTTTTCTGTATTGTTCATGTTCAAATACTGATATATGGGTACATTGTTCTTTTTAAGCCATTTTTTGCCTTGCTTTGCCTTGACGCCACAAGATGACAAACCAAATGAAGCATGTCGAACGCCCATAGATGCTTCGACCCACGTCTGATCCTTGTCCGTTTGGGCCTGACATTTATTCATCCATTATCCCCGTTTTTTAGATGCGCCTCCTTCTGTCCTCCGCTCAGTATCGCTCCTTCCCCCACTTCCTGACTCCTTCCTGACTCTTTTGACCCTTAAATGTTAGCAGATGAGAGGACACAACGCCAATAGTCATTCAGGGCGCTCTTTAGTGACCATTGTGTGGCCCGCGTCCCTTCAGACCCCCCCCTCCCCACAGGACCTCTGGCCATTAATGACCAAGGGGGTTAAACCTACACCCCAGCCTCCATCACAATGTGCAGCTCACTTTGGGGAATCATTTACCAAGTGCACGGCTATTAATATATTGGCTTTGGGATTTTGAGTATATGCTGAATGTTAAAGCTGAAATGTCAAGATTACTTTGGAGAAATGCTTGCTCTCAGTGGATTCGTCTACTACTATTAGTACTAGTTGTAATTGGAGATGCCCCAATTTTTCAGTTTCGATACCAATTTTTACATTATTGCCTTAAGAATCTGCTGATACCTGATATAAACCGATTACCGATGACCCTTTAAACTAAAAAAGAGAAGACAAAACTGATCCAAATGTGTTGTAGCTGTTATTTACCTCTAAAGTAACGACAGAACAACTTTCTTTAAATAAGAGCTCAAACATTATTAGACTTTCTGGACCGACATCGACCAGTAAACAACCAGGATATCGACTGAACCGATATTTAGCTGATATTTAGAAGCTGATATCCGATCCAGCTAATTTTTCAGAATTGCCGTTGATATCGGATACCAGTATTCGATTGGTGCATCCCTAATTGCAACTGATATCAAAATTGGAGTGAATGCAAATTATTAAGTGCAATAGTTTCCTCCACAATCAACACCCTTATTCTGCATAAAACTGCTACCCCTGTGGTTTAGATGTGTGCATGTTCTGAAATGTAATCCTTATATTTTGTATTTAAATCCAAATCCACAAACAAAGCAGTTTACAAAGTGCTGCACAGAGATCATAAAATGAAGACAATAAAAAGGTAAATTGCTAAAATTTGGTCATACCAGTCCTAGAACAATAAAACCAGTAAAAGCTAAGTAAAAGCAAAAACCATAAAAATCATAACATTTAAATGGTTAACTCTGAACAGAATCCTACTATTAAAACTTAGATTGCAAAGCTTGATTGAAAAATTGCAATTCGAAATATTTGCCAAATTGTCCAGACCTAAATATTACTATCAAACTGAACCTTATTCCACTACTAGAGCGACCACTACTAATAATGATAACAGAAAACACACAGTGATAGTGTATAAAGATAAGATAAGAGAGTCTTTATTTGTCTCACAATGGGGAAATTCCTAGCCTGAACGAATCCTAATGCCTCACAGCATTAGAATTCGTTCACTCTACAATAGGCGGGTACTTTTTTTAATTTAACCAATCGCTGCTATTTGGTCATGACGTATCTAATGTGCCACTAACGGGGCTAACTGGTATATTAAGCTTTTCCCATATCCTGTAGGCAATAACGTCTTTCCCCTTGATAAAATTCACCAAACATTGTCTTTGTTCTGGCTTTAAGTGCTCGATCTCATGAATTGTTTCCAACACAGAATGTTTGGCTCTTCGCTGATTGGCTGGTAGCCGAACTCACACTTCCGAGGTTTTTACAAACCGTCTAGTGTGTTCCGATTCCTGACCTAGTCGCTGGAGAGCAATGAAATTGAGCGGAGGCACTAGGCGGCGCTAGCCATGCTAGAAATTCCAGCATTTCGTGTTGAGTATAAGAAAAAATAAATAAAACTAGACTTAATTCTAACCATTTAACTACAATGGTATATGCATTGTAATGTGTAATTTATCAAATAAATGGGACAAAAATAAGTGGGCTTTAAAAAACTATTAAGGGAACAATCCTGCCTCTTTTGAGTTGCACTATGAGACTTACACTCCATACACTGTTATTGTGTTGATCTTTGTATGCTGGTTGTGTTCCAGGGGGACCCTCTTCCTGCAGCGCTGGTGGAGCTGGTTAGAAACACTCCCATCTCCTCCATAGAAGACCTCCAGCTGCTGCTGCTCTCTGACTCCGTAGGTAAAGACGACCTCTTTATATATTTGCCATTCTCTACACACCCATGTCAATTACATAATTACAGATTTAGTATTGATTAGTGGATTGTGTTTTATCCTTCTCTTTTTTCCCTTAGTAACAGTAGTAAGTAACTTTTCAAGTCAAATTGTGACAAGCAAACATCCTCCCAAGCCCAAATAAATAGAAATGGATCAGCATGCAATCACAGAATTAACATTTCCCCTGGGCACTCAACCTCACTCAAGTTTTTCTAGTTTATAAATGTTATTATACAATATATATATGTATATACACGCACACGCACGCACACACACACACACACACACACACACTATATATATATATATATATATATATATATATATATATATATATATTTCAGCAATGCAAACACATTTTTTAAAGGAATATTATTTCTTGTTGTTTCTTAGATGAAGAGCAGGACACATCAGCAGCCACTGGAGGTCACAGACTCCCTAGAAGTCTTGGTAATATTCTTTTGTAATCAATAGGGTATAATATAATAGTGATAATATATCTGCAGACTCTTTTATGAGGCCTATGATGTAAATGATCATTAGTAAACAAAGACCAGACTGTGTTCTAATGAAATAGCATTATATTTGGGAGTTCAGTGAATGTTAACTTCAGTCGTAATAGAAAACAAGGATGGATAATATTGGCATCGCTTCTAAGAGGCTATTAAAAGCACATCTGTCGCACCAGCCCATATATATGTATTTATTTATGGATGACATCATAAGCCAAACTAAATTGAAGCCATTACAATGATAATATTTGCCAGACACTGATCTCCTAGCAACCAGACAGAGGCTTGAGTTTCTGCTGCTAATAATGACCTGTCCTATTTGAGACCAGGGTTTTCTTATCACCCGGGCGCATTCACCGACTACAGAGATTATCTAGAGCCGTGGTTACTTGTGTCGCTTGGCAGTCATACAGGATGTAACTGTCGCGTCGAGATTCTTGTGCATTCACACTCCCCTCTGCTCTGTCAGATGCCCAGCCGGCGCAGCAGGCCCTGTGTAAAGTGCGCACGGAGGTGGTGGAGGTGACCAGGTCCATGTTGGATCGGAGCAACGCTAACTTCCTGCTGTGGCCGCCATGTGTGGAGGTGCAACGCTGCTCGGGCTGCTGCAATGCCAAGAGCCTGCAGTGTGTGCCCGTGGTCACGCACACTAGATACCTACAGGTACTACACTACACTACACTACACTACACTACACTACACTACACTACACTACACTACACTACACTACACTACACTACACTCAAATTTCCACACAATATATCATATATGGTGCAATTATAGAGTTATACAAGGTTAATAATGCTGCATACAAGGTGAATAATGATGCCCACTAATGTAGAGGATGGTGGTTCCTTTGTACGTCTGTTGGTGCCTCAGATTCTTGAATCAAATTATGTCATACTTCTAGAAAGTGGTTAAGAATCAGTGTAAAAAATAGATTATTCTGCATTTTCATTTCATTTAAATTGAAGAAATTACAAGAAAAATCCATACACGTTGAACAATAATTTGTAAAATCTATGACCTGACCCTTGTAATTGGTGCATCAAATCAAATCAAAGTCTGTGTATTGACCACAGAAATTTCACTTTCCCCCATCTCCATTCAGTTATTACAAACTTTTAGAATGGAGTGTTATCATCTGAAAACATTTGCCTTTATCTTTTTTTAGAAACAATAATAACGTCTCTCAATGTGCTACACTGTGGTGTGGTATTTATCCACTCCACTCGTGTTGGTAAGCTGCTTCTGTAGTCACAGCTGCCCCGAGGTAGACCAACCACCACCAACCACTCGTCTTGGACACAATGACAGAACTTGGTCTGAGCCGTAATCAATCTTCCAAATTTGGTGGATGAGTGCTCCAACTACATGCCCTATTACATGCCCTTTTTTGCATAGGCAGACTTTAAACTGTATGAATTCTGCAAAGGCATAGAGCAGAGGTCTCCAACCTGTTTTCTCCAGTGAGCTACCTTTACGAAACAAAATGCCAGAGCTACCACTTTCACCAGTCAAGAAGAAACTGAGTGAATATAAGAACCATGGCAAGCCATAGATGGGGAACAGTTAGATGCTTACAAAACATAAACCATTATCCATTTATCAGTGCACCAAGTTTGGCATCAAAATACATTTACAGTGGTAATGAATCAAATTTTACTTATTAGCTACAAACATAAAATTCTAAAATCCCTTGACAAGCTACTTGGAAGGGCATGGAGAGTTACTGGTAGCTCCCACGCTACAACTGGAGACCCCTGACATCGAGGAACTGGAAACTATGACTAGTCTTAACTGTAAGCCGATGTATGTCCCAACAGCTTACCAACTGCTCTAACAGCAAATTGCTAAAAGGATTAATGAATGAATTACACGTGTTGATACCATGCCTGTTCATTTGACTTTTAAAGGTCATGAAGATTGAATATGTGAACAAAAGACCCACATACGCTAAAGCAGTGGTGTCTGTGGTGGACCATGTGGAATGCCGGTGTCAGCCCACTCCAAAACCCCCTCCGCCCAAGAAGAAGACCACGAGAAGACAGCACAGTAGCAGCAGCAGCAGCAGCAACAGCAGCAGGGAGCTCCATCACAACCAGACGCTCACCACTGCACTGGGACAGGTACACCAAACTCATCTGTTACGAGGAATAAGATTGAAAACAGAGTTGAACTGGACTTTGTTTATTTACATGCATTCCAAACAAGTTGTAGTAAACCAGGGGAGTCCAAACCTTTTTCATCAAGGGCCACATATCCAAACACAGATGAAGCAGAGGGCTGAGCTAAGGCTGAAAACTGGTGCTCAGTACAGTCTTTATTCATGCTAAGATCCTTAAAACCACACACTAAATATTAAGTATTAGCTTTTTCAAGGTAGATTTTCAAAACACTTGCAGTAAAAAGTAAATTTTTAATTGAAGCCAGGTAATTTGGGCCAATTCACCTGGAAGCCTGTGGGCCAAGAAAAAATTGTCTGAAGGCTGCATTTGACCCATGGGCCATAGTTTGGACATGCCTGTAGTAACTGGCAGTAATACTGGTGTCAGCCCTCTATCTGGAACAAATGGAGTGAAGTTTATTACCACCAAATGACCCAGATCCCCTTTCTGATACAACACAAATTACAAACAAGTGCAATCGGAGATGGGGCGGGGCAGTTCATCACCATGGAAGCATCTTATTAGGAGCCCAGCCCATATTACATGATCGTTATATCCACAGTGCAATGTGTGTAGCTGTACAGTGCCTATGAACATTTGTGTGATATTGGTCACACATGAGAATGTCTGTGTTTACTTTTTCTGAGATTTTGAGACCACTTCTTTTGCTCTAGCTCGATCCTTTGTGGAGTTATGACCAAAAGCGCATATTTGACCTTTGTTACCTTGACCTTCAAGTGACCTTGACCAGTTTCAACCTGTTACATCCAGTGTACCCTGGTTATGTGTGTGCCAACTTGTGTGGTGATTGGGTGAATGTTTTAGCCCGCAGATGGTTCAGAAATTGTGAAATTGCTGATCCTTTATAATGGCGTGACCTTTCAATTGACCCATGTGACCTCAAATGACCTCGGATACTCACCAAACTTTTTTTGCGGCATCAGGCAAGGGGGCTTGACCCACGTACCAAATTTGGTGACAATCAGTCCATAAATGTGAAGTGGACAGACACACAGGGTGAATACAAAACCTGGTCAACCCTTCGGGGACCAGGTAATTACACTGCTTTAAAAAAAGAAAAAAACAAAAAAACCTGCAAATCATAATGTTTACTGACAACTTGTTGCTTGTTGTAATTTTAGTTGAGACAAGCATGCTATTGAGTTGTATAAAACTTGAGCTAGTTTTTATTTATTAAAGAAAATTTCAGTACATTTAGTCATAAATGGTATCTAGTTTTACAAAAATATTACATTAAAGGAGCACTTTGTGACTTTTCTTCATGGAAATCTGGGGAGTACTACATTATAGCATTACACATATATATCTTGCATGTTTTCCCCTAAAATAATACCTTGAAAAAACATTGTTACAGTGAGCAGGGTCTCCTCTTCATAAATCTGACCTCCAACTTGGTCTCCTGCTTGTCTCCTATTTAAACCCCTGAGCCACATGGAGATCAGCAACTTTCAACAAAATCTGTATATATATCAGCAAAATAACCAATTTTATTGACATCATACTTTTTTTTTGTACTCAAGGTGAAGTTGCATTCCAAAGACGAGCTGCACCAGTGGGACGAGCTGAAACAGAACCAGAGGTCTCACATGGAGCACGATCACATGGACCAGCAGTGGAGCCCCAGAGGAGACACCTTCACCCAGGCGGCGGACAGCTCCAGCCTGCACCGAGGGCACCCATCCCGGGGAGAGGAATCCTTCCACCTCACCCCTCTCTGGTCCCACAACTCCACCAGCAACAAGACTGCACACTCCGCTGGTAACGTCACTACTGAGGTTAAAGGTATAGTGCGGGACATTCCCAGCTTTGGTCTGGAAGAAAGCGCACAAACACATAGCCCGATATGGCACCAAGACAAATACACACAAATCCAAACGAGTGCTCCTTCCGCACCTGTCACCCCGGACCCTGTCGCCCACACGGAGGCTAGCATTGCCAGGGACGACAGGAGGGTCCGTCCCACCAAAGAGCCCAACCCGGACCCGCAGGTGAGACACAGGGACAATGAGACGCCCCAAAAAGACAGGTTATTAGAAAGGGAGGAGGCCAAGTTGGAGGAAGAGAAGAGGGAGCTGTTACTTCTCCACAAAAGGCTGGACCAAGAGAAGGAGATCCTCAGACAGCAGCAGCTCAAAAGAGAAGAGGAGGAGAGGCAAAGGGAGGCTGATAGTCATCTGCATAAACATCACCACCATCATGTGCACACTGCCGCTCCCACAACAGGTACATAAATATCGGATGTAAAGCTGATTAAGTCCTATTCAGAATCACAAAAGCTCCGGAAACTTATCTTTTATATTTTGATTTCACAGTGACAACCACCACCACAACAACAACCACACAGGCGCCGTCAGCTCCAGCGGGTCCCAGGCCTCCAGCTCAACCGCGGCAGAGGAGGAGGAGGAAAAATCGCAAACGGATTAGCAAGGCAGCTATGAGGGCAATGCTAATGTAAAATAAACTAAGGTAAGACCATTATCTTTTATATATCATTAAAGGGGACACAGTGATAAATATATGATAAATTAGCAGCACTCTTTTTCTATTTGATTGATTTATGCATGTTTAAAATGCTGAATTGCATTTGAGTGCTTAGAAAATGTATCTTTTCAGCTACCCCCTATCTTCGCCCATATTGCTACATAAAAAAATTCAAACTCTGGGTCATACACCAGGTTCAAAAATGTTATTTAGCAATTTTTCAATGCTAAAAACAAAAAAAATTAAATAATAAATAATGAAATCCACTGCTTGCTCTGGTGAAATGCCACTATGAAGAGATGCCTCAAAAGTTCTGAACAGAAATCAGTAGACTTGTTTCTATATTTCAGCCATTTTAAATTGATGTTGATGTAAACCCTGCTAAAATAGATAAAAAAAAAACAACAGAAAAACAAAACAAAAAAAAAGTGTATTTTGTGTTAACCTGTTAATGCATTATTCGCCTTAAAGGGCCCATATTAGGCTATTTTCTGATCTATGTTATAATGTTGTTTCCGTATCAAAAACATAGCCAGAGTTCTGTTTTATTTTATTCATGCATGTTTAACACGCAAACCCTGCATATTTAATTCTTCTCTCAAACAGAAAACACTCTGTTCCACCTTGTGATACCATGTGGCAATACAGGAAGTGCTCTACTGTGTTTCTAAACTCCATACACTTTTGGAGATGTAGCCAGACTAATAATAAAGTGTTACTCAAACCGGTGTGAATAAAACAAAACACAACTCCAGGCATGTGTTATTAGGTTCTTTTTTCAAACCAAAAGTTTATTTTCATACCTGACAGTTTCAACTGCTCACTAGCGGTCTTCCTCAGAGTGGTCACGTGATGTTACTGTGACGTGTCGGGTCAGCTGATTTATATAGGTTTTGGTACCGTCTTTTTACCGGTGGAGGCAGGATGACAGCGCCATCTGCAGTGCACTTCCTCAGGACAGTATTCTAGGTGTGTGAGAGTAAAAAAGCCCCCTCATCCCGGTTTATAGTCCCGTGGGCACACTTCTGTATTTTCTAAAATTGGCCATCTCTGACCACTGTAAAAGAGAGAACCACATTATGGACTGGGATGGAAGAAATCAAACACTGTCGCTGGATTAAAGAGGCAATGGGAATACAGAAACGTGCCAATGTGATTATAAACCGGGACAAGGGGGCTTTTTTACTCTCACACACGGGATACTGTCCTGAGGAGGTCGGACTGCAGATGGCGCTGTCGTCCTGCCTCCACTGGTAGGAAGACAGCGACAAAACCTGTTTAAATCAGCTGACCAGACACGTCACAGCAACAACGTCACGTGACCACTCTGAGGAAGACCACTAGTCGAAACTGTCTTTTGGTCTGATAAAAGAACCTAATAACATAAATTATTGGAAGACCTAATTAACCTCATTGGACTACAAATTCATGTATGTTTTTGACGAGGTAATAACATTCTAACGTGACTTAAAGCTCACAAGAGTTCATTTGTATAATATTGGACCTTTAACATTTCTAAAACTTTATTGTTAATGATTATCTCATGTGCTTTTCTTACAGATGCACCCTGAGAACCTGTGGACATACCCTGAGATGAAGCCTCCCATCTCCTCTCCTGCAGCGTTTATTCACCTGTCAGTAACTCACCCTGCCAGATCTCCTAGGTAACACTACTAATGACTGTTAACCCAACTTCCATGGAGTCGGACAGAACTAAGGAACACTGGGACATGTTTCGGAGGAGGACTTTCGTTGGTGGGTGCTCTCGAAAAAGGCACCCCAAGATGAACTGACAGGTGGCTGGGTGCAGACTGGAACTGCATAGCTGTAGAACTGTGGACATATAGTGCAATTCTGAACTCCACGTGTTTGGATATCGACGGAGAAGGACTGCGACGCCCTCTGTGGAATGACTTTGTGCTCGGTCAGACACATTATGACTACTAAGTACTTTCGGTGCATAGAAAACAGTTGTAATCCGATATATATGAGAGACGGGAGTAGCAGAGTGGTTACATAAAGAGACATAGGAATTGATTCAATGCTTACTTCCTGTAGTGGGTACTCTTCGGGTACTCCCACCATCCTAAATTAGTGTGAATGCTAGTCCGTTTGTTCTTGTGTTGGATGCCCTCCCTGTAAATGTCATCTGAATGGGGTCTGTAGAATATCAGGGAGGAAAGGGGGCAGACTTGGCGAGTAGACCAAGACTGTAAAATGGATATGACACTTACTTCAACTTAAAGTATAAACAACATGGTCAAACAGTTTAAGGCTTCACAAACATTAGGCTTCCATGCTCTTATAGTGCTAGGGTCACAATTTAAAGTAGCAAATTGACTTATTAAAGGGGACATCTTCAGAAAGTATTCATGTCCTGGGTTGTTAAAAGTATTGAAAGTCAGATACTAATCAATACTAAAAGTTAGGGATGTAACAATAACCAAAATATTGTGATATTGTATCGTCAGAAGTCTCGCAATAATATCGAATTATAAGTTCCTTTACTTAAATGCATTGTTCTTTAGTAGGAACAGCTAATAAACATCAGGAACTACGTGTCCCATGATTCATTTCAGCGCAGACAATATGAAGAAATATGTTTTTTACTTGAATTCTTGGCATTCTGACAGTTATAATTCACACCAAAACAGCAAAAAAGTGTCCTATCTAGAATTTTATTTGCCAAAATATTGCAATAAATATCGTACCGTGATACGCATATCGTGATAATATTGTACCGAGAGATTTGGATATCGTTACATCTCTACTAAAAGTTATATCGAAACTACATACATGTTTAAGCAAGTATCTCAAATGCAAAAAATCACATTAACAGGATAAAATTTGAGCTTTCCTGAACAGTTTTAGCCTGATTTTGAGCTTCGCCAGAACAAATATAAGACCTCATGCTAAGATCAAGAAAGAACAATTATTTTGTTGACGGAAATTGCATTCTATTAGCCTACTAAAAAGGAGATTTATTTTTTAATCTTCATTGTCATATCATAATCAGTATTGAGTATTGAGTGAATTCCTTAGTATCGAAATCGAGTTTGAAATTTTAGTATCGTGACAACACTATTCAAGTACAAGTTGTGCTAACTCTGTGTAGTACATAATAGTAGTTCTCAAAATATTCATAACTGTCAGGATTACACGAGGACTAGACCAGGACTAACCAAAGCCCGAACCTTGGCCAAACTAGGAGAGGCCCGAACTAAAGCAGGAACTAAGATGAAATAAAATATAGTATGTATTTACACTGAAAAAGTCTAAAATTACAATAATCATAGTAGAGAAACACTGGTCTAGAGCCCTCACGAGCTTTGAGAGGAACTTCACACATGTTGCTACTACTACTTTCTAAAAATACCAAACACGCCATCTACAAATTCACTGGAAAATCTTTAAGAACCTTCAAGGACAGTAGTTTCGTGTACAGCTTGGTAGAAAAAGAATTAGGATGGCTGGGCAGGTTACCCACCCGCGACACTCAAATGGGCTCCACCACCTTGGAGTTTAGGGCAGAAAATGATAAAGGATAAAGGGAAAAAAGAGAAAATTTGAGAGACAATCAAACTGAAAAGACCAGTATTACCAAGTTTGACAACAACTTTTGACACGTATGCTTTATGTTCATATACAAGTCTCTGTAACAGTATTTAATGTGTTTAACTCTATACACTGGAATTGCAAACTGGTCAATCCCACAACACATTATCTTTCTCTGTGTCAAAATTACATGTGGTCTGACTATGTGCTATGTCTTATTTATTTACCATTACCATAACTGTGGACTAACTTTTTTATACTGCGACAAAGATGTTTTTATTTCTATACAGAGCTTCAGTGTTGCATGCTTCTACTCGGTGGTTCTCAACACGGCCACCCAGGTCTGCTTCATGTATGAAATGTTCCACAGTGTGTGGCTGGTGACCACTCCCACACCTCTAGTTCTAGTTCTGCTTTTGTCTTCAGTACAGATATGAGTCTTGTCTTTGGAAAATCAATCTGTTAAAACCTGGGAAAGCCATCGTATGCTACAACAGTATTTTTCCATTACAGCACACACTCGATCTCACTTCCAGACATTGTTTTGAACATGAATAAGTATGTTGGAACCTGTTAATTAAAAGCAGGAAGTTACATGTGCTACAGCACCTATGGCCTTTTGTTGTCTTGATTCATATAGAGATGCAAACACTAGTGACGCTGTCCATAAAGCAGAGTTAACACCATTTTAAGTTATTGAAGATTATTGTACAGTCTGTGTGCTAACCTAAACTGTTAACTGTTTTATATGAATGAAAGAAGAACTGTGTTTGGTAACACTGCCACCTAATGCTATTTTCATATGGTAAAGAAGCTTAAATTAACTATGCTTGTGTTTCTTTCTTATTTTATAAAGTCATATTTGGTTTACAGTTTTGTTTACATATTGCACAAACTCAAGAAGTGGTTTGTGCTTTCTGAAACTAGGTGATATTACACATTGCTGTTCTGCTCCAAAAGTAGAAACTGTATAAATCTTAAATGTTTATTAGTAACAGCACTGCTTCCTGGTATATGCAGGCTGTGCAGATACACAGAACCCCACCATAAATTAACTTAGTATACTCAATACAAATCATTGTATATTTTAATATACACAAAACAATCCTGTCCAACAATAAATTCAGCTCAGAAGTACCACCAAAGAAAAGATTTGACTTTCCGAGTACCACCAGATCTAAACCAAGTATAACAGTACTATATCTAATCCAGGGCTAAACCAGGTCTAAAAGTGAACTATGTCATCTCTTGCCTGACGAGCCAGGGGCTGGTACCAAACAATAGAGAGTGAAAATCCTCTGTCCTAATTCGAGATGATCCAACCACAGCTGCTAATCTGTAGCACGTGTCTCTCAAATGTCAAAACACCTCCTCTCCAAAATTCTCCTATCATTGAGAACAAAATATATTATTTTTTTACACAAATTAAGTAGTTTCTCAGTCCTTTTTTTTTACATATAAACCATGAGGTCGGTTTTTGACGCAAACTGAGCTTGTGTCTCTCTAATTGATTATCTGGTTTTCAATCATGCCCTCGGGAGACAGGATACAACTCCAGATCTTTGAAAAGTTTTATGTGGTTCTGTAACATCATCTCCACTGTAGTTTGAAAAAAATGATCCAAAAGAGAACAGAAAATGGATAAAATTAACTCCACTTTAGGCAAACCCAGAAACTGAAGCGCTGTCCAAGTACCACCTGAAGGACTACCACAGTTTGAGAAACACTGGTAGAAAGTTTACATGAATTATTAAGTTTTGTTTCATGTGTAAAGGAATAGAATATGATTTTGTCGATGAAGCAAATCTTTTCTCTTCTTAAATTGCCCTTAACCCACTTGAGAACTATTTCAAGAGTGAGCGAAAGTCAAAGAATGTCTCTGAGTGCAAGCAGCCGGCAGCACCTCCACCTCCTGCTCCTGCCCTCCACCTGCCCTGCACCCGCTGACAGGAGTCCAGGCGGGGGTGTGGCGTGACGTTTGCTCCCCCTGACGCAGAGGGGCCGGTGGGGGGGGGGGGGGGCAATGTACTGTAAGTGAACTCTGTGATTTGTTTTTCACATTCACCTTCTTGACTGTTGGCTGCAGAAAGTCTCCACTCAGCACCCAGATGCACGGCTCCATCTGCTAATCACCCAGAGGAGGCATCTGCTCGGCCTGTTTAACCACACTCACATGGGAAGGGCTCTGAAGCACCATAAACACATCATAAACACACTCATGCAAATAGAGTCTTCACGGTGTCATTCTAAACATTTTGATTTCATTTAAATGCGCCCACACACATATAATGTCATACAGAAGAGGCTGAGTTCACGTTGTACAATTTGACGGTTTCATAATTTCAGATGGAGTGCAGGGATCTATTGATATTTTGCCGTGACGGGGTTCTGCATGTGTGTCTGTGGCGGATTGTTCAGCAGTTTCCATGGTGACTCATTAATGCACACATTCGCAAACACGGTCTGATAAGTTTTTAGATGAAAACTGAGTCATGGTGCGATTTAGGTGTCTGATTTTCAACTAAAAAAAGTGAGCGTGACATTTGGCTGACACTAGTTGGTTTGTGGCTGTAATTTTATGATCTGTGTTGTAATCTTGTTTCCCCATCACAAACCAGAGGTGTGGACAGAGGTCAGACTTGAGTCACTATTTTTAGGACTTGAGACTTGGCTTGATAAAATGGACTAAGACTTGGGACTCAACTTGGACTTGAAGGTCAATTGACTTGGGACTTGACTCGGACGTGAGGCCTGTGACTTGAGAAGACTTGATGCTTCTCCTAAAAACATCTATGCTTTTTGAAAATACTTTTCTCTTTACAGTTGATAAATGCAGTGGTTAATTTTATAGGAACAAACTGGAACATGTCCCTCCCACTTCTGTTTGGTACTTTGGTTGTAACTGAAGTACTGCGATGTGGTATCCTCAAATGTACTACAGTAATATACAGTACATTACAGTAAAACAGAGCGAACTACATAGAACATGATCTTTCCATTTCAGTGCAGACTACACGACAAAATATCTGTTATTAAGCACTCTTAAATCTTAATTCTTCCTGTTCTGACCATAATGATTCACTCTAAGATCTTGTCAAGACATTTAAGAAGGGAAAATGTGATTTTTAAATACAATTTAGCTTAAACAAAACCAAAGCTATATTTGGTACTTTGGTTTAAAGACTTGAAATGACGTGATGCTCAAAGCAGACGGCTTGGACATGACTTGGACTTATGGGCCAGTGACTTGAGACTTAACTCGGACTTGAGGTCAAAGACTTGAGACTTAGTTGAGCAAAACAACGACTTGGTCCCTCCTCTGTCTCAAACATACCTGGAGTTGTGTTTTATTTCATTCACACACGTTTAACTCACAAACCCTGCATTTTTAGGCTGAGTTTTCTCAAACAGAAAATACTCTGTTCCATCTTGCAATGGCCTCTAGAAATACAATAAGTGCTCCACTGTGTTTTTCAACTCCATACTTAATTGCAGGAATTTCCACTCTCTACTAAACTAAAGCTAAAAGGTGATGAACAGAGTATTTGGGGCTTTGGAGATGTACATAGACTAATAATAAAGGATTATTCAAACATGTGTACAAGTCTAGGTGTGTTTTTGTTGCGATAACAGCGATAACAGCATTCTAACATGCCTTAAAGCTCACAGGAGTCAATTTGTATAATATAGGACCTTTAAATTCTAACACAGCTTCAGTCATGTTGAGATCACTTTCACTTTCTGAAACATTTGTGAGAAAACAGTTTCACTTTTGATGAAGAAAAGAGGTAGAGCACTGGGTCATAAAAGAGTTTAAAAATAGCAGTACAGATGCTGTATGTTTAAAGACAATTTCACTTTTGTTTAATTATGTTGACAGAGAAGATGCTGAGCTTTATGCCAGCTTTTGCTTCACGCGGATAGGCCAAGAAATTAACTATAAAACAGGTCAACAAATCTGCGATCTGACAGCAAATTCCACTACAAAACCCAAACCCTGACCTGTCCTCCACCCCAATTACAAACTACAGGGCTGTCACAATGACGCAACCCATCGGAGTAACTATGGAGGACTTCCCGTTGCCCAGCTGCCCAGTCTGGCACACACGTATGACTTCTAAACAGCACAGTGCCTCTACATTCAGCACTGAGGTGGGAGGCCAGATTTGTATGGGTGTACGAGCATGCCCCACCCACAGGAGACCTCAGACAAGAGACAGAAGAGGATACAAGAGGATAGTGACAAACTCAGAGGTCAACTGGACAGTCAAGAGGCAGGCGCGCTCTTTTGATGTTTGTTAGACTATCACTGTCACAAAGTATGAATGGGCATTTCTCGCTTAAAGGCCCTGTATTACTCAAAATTGCCTCTTGCCTGCTTTAAGTCATGTTAGAATGCTGTAACCTGGATTTGTGTTTTGTTTCATTCATGCATGTTTGAGTAATCCTGCGTTATTAGTCTGTTAAGCTTTTTTTTTTAACCTTTTCTTTAATACAGATTGGCAATTCCAGGCGTGAAATCGTTCAAGTGATACTTGGGGTCTCCAACCTTTTTCCTCCTGTGAGCTACTTTTTCTCAAACTAAAATGCCAGAAAGCTACTAATTTTAGCGGTCGCCAGAAATTTTGTAAATATAAGAGCCATGTTAAGCGGAAGATGAAGTACAGTTAGATGTCTATAAAACATAACCCATTATCCAGTTATCAGTGCACAAAATTAGACATCAAAATTAAACATTTACAAAGGAAATAGACATTTAATCAATCAAATTCGAGTTATTCAGCACAATATGTATAATTCAGAAATCCCTTGGCGAGCTACTTGGAAGGGGGTGGAGAGCTACTGGTTGCTCCCGAGCTACAGGTTGGAGTGGTAGGGAGTTTAAAAACACAGTAGAGCACTTCCTCTATTACCACATGACATCACAAAGTGGGACAGAGTCTTTTCAGTTTGAGAACTCAGCGTAAATATATAGAGTTTGTGCGTTAAACATGTGTGAAGGAAACAAAACACAACTCCAGGCATGTTTGTGATGAGGAAAAAACATTATGAACAGAAAACAATGTAATATGGGCCCTATAAACCTCACTATAAAATTTTACCTTGATTCTCTGACAACAAAACACTTTCTGATTAGATACAGAGTGACAGTAAACACAAGTGTACTTATTTTGACCTCAACAGCTGCTTGTGCATCTGTATCTGTACTGGGGCTAGACTCATTTGGTCCAAAACATGAGAATAAATCAGATACAAGTACAGGCCCTTGAATACAGTAAAACAGATTCCTACATATTCACAGACTTGAATTAAGGATCAGCAATAGAAATATACATTTTTAGTACACACTGCAAAAACAAAATCTAGTCAAGTTAAGATGACTTGAATTAAATAAGTTTTATCATGATTTGAGTAAATTTCACTCGACAAGTAAAATTATCTGACTTTTTGTACTTAAAATATGAAAATACATCTTGCTACACTTAAAATAAGAAAAACAACAACTTTTTGCACTTAAAATAAGAAACAAAATCGAATGTTGCCTGAATGAAGAAAAACGCTCTTATTCCATTGGTAGATAATTTTACTTGTCAAGTTGAATCGACTCAAATAAAGTCAAATGTTCTTAATTAAAGTCATTTTAACTTACCTAGGTGTTGTTTTTTTCCAGTGAATATATTTTTTATTACATTTTTTTTTTTTTTTTTTTTAGATTACATACCAGTGTTGAAACATATTTTGGTGTAATTATAATGCGTTTCATTGATGCTCAGGAAGTTAACATGCTAGTTGCTGTTAGCATTATGGGAAAACTCCACTCTGG